CACACACTCCTGGCAACCACCTCTCAGGGCGGTTATGATGATAAATGAGTTAACACCAGTTGAGCGTCCCTAACCTGAAAGTGCAAAATCTGAAATGTTCCAAGATCTGAAGCTGTTTGAGCACCGACATGATGCCACAGAGGAAAAATTCCACACCTGATCCCTTTGCTTTCTGATGATTCAATATACACAAACTATGCTTCATGCACAAAATTGTTAAAATATATATATATATTTAAAGTATAAAATTATCTTCAAGCTATATAAGATACATATAAAACATAAATGAATTTTGTGTTTGGACTTGGGTTCCATTTCCAAGATATTATGTGTAAGTAAGCAGACATTCCAAAATCCAAAATCTGAAATACCTCTGGTGCCAAGCATTTTGGGTAAGGGATATTCAACCCCTACTTGTAAAACCCTTAAACTAGTGAAGTGCTTGGAGCATAGTAAGTGCTATTGACTTTTAAAGTTACTATTGCAGTTTTAAGGCAAAAAATAGCCATTTCAGGCACTTTTGTACCAAGCTCATAACCCCTTATTCTACTGTCTATATCAGTGCCTAGCAAAACCCCAATTCTGCATTAAAACATAGGACTATTCATTTTAGTTCTGTGACGTTGAACAGCACTGTTCCACAGACTGGATCCAGACTCGTGTTGCCCACACCTGGCCAGGCTGCTTCACCATTCTGCAGTCTGGCTTCTCCCAGCTTCTGTCTCAGTGGGCAGTGGCTTTCTCTTGTCCAAGATTAACCCTTTCACCGGCCTCTGCATTCCACCCCCACCTCGCCTCTTCCAGAACCTTCAGTGGTCAATTGTCTCAGACTCCCGAATCTTCACTGAAACCTTCTGCTATGCTGACATGTTGACCTTGTCCCCAGTGCGGATAGATAAGGTCAAGTCTTTCCCATCTTAAAAACAAAACAAGAGCAAACCTTCCTTGTCCTTGTGTCTCCCCTCCGCTTAAGACCTTATCTCTCTCCTTTCCATGGCAGCCAAGCTTCTTGAAGGACTTGGCTGTACTCGCTGTCTGCTTCCTTATTTACTCCCCACGCCTGCCATTAGCTCTCCCTCCTCCAGTGATCAGACATCTGCTGCCCTGCCAGCCCTTCCAGAAACTACCAGTGAGGGTCACGGAAGGGCCACCCTTTCTCTCCCCTCCCTGGGAACAAAGTGCTCACCTTCCACAGCTCCTGGGGCACTCCCAACCCCCCACCCCCCACCCCACACTCCTTCCCTTGCGGCCCTGCCAGCTGCTTTTCGGCACCCTTTGTGGGCTCCTGCCTCTTAAGTGTTGGAATTTCTCCTAGACTCGCTCTCTGGTGTTTTTTTTTTCTTACGACTTCCTATGATTTCAACTATAACATTTATCTTTAGGCCAGACCTTTTTCCTGAACTTTCTGTTCGTGTACTATATTAGTCTACTGGGCTGCCGTACTAAAATACAATAGACTGGGTGGCTTAAGCAACAGACATTTATTTCTCACAGTTCTGGAGGCTGAGAAGTCCAAGATCAAGGTATGAGTCAGTTTGGCTCCCAGTGAGGACTCTTTTCCTGACTTGCAGACAACTGCCTTCTTGCTGTGTGCTCTCATGGTAGAAAGAGGGCGATCTCTCATGTCTCTTATAAGGGCACTAATCTCATCATGAAGGCTGCACCCTCATGAGCTAATTATCTCCCAAAGGTCCCTTATCCAAATCCTATCACACTGGGGGTTAGGGCTCCAACATAGGAATTTTGGGGGAACACAATGTTCAGTCCATAATATGCCCAGCAGCCTGATGGATACTCCACTTTATTCCTATAGACGCTTACAGTTTCAACAGGTTTAAAACTGAAATCATTCACATACCCATCATCCTGCTCCCCCTGGACTTTTCCTATTGGATGCCAGTCTCCGCTAAGTCACTGAAATCAGAAATTTTAGAACTCCTTGTACACATGTCCCCACCCCTTTGTGCCACAGATGAGCCAGGGCTGTGATTTCTGCCCCCAGAGATCCTTCAGAGCCGTCCCCTCCCCGCTGTGTTACTGCCATTCTCTTAGCTCATGTCCTTGTGTTTATCTCCTAGGTTACTGATTTGTCCCCTCTGGATCTGTCTTCCACACTCTCTGTAGGGTGAAATTGTACAGAATGAAAATCTTTTGGTATTATCTGCTTTCGGTCCTTCAGGATAAAGTCCTGCCCCTCCTTGATCAGGCCCCTCCCTACAGAGCCATGTGCAGTGCCCCTGGCACCTGGGAATTTCCATGGCGGCCTTGCCCTGTGCCTAGATCACCTGCCCTGCACCTCCCCTGCCCACGTCTACACCTGCCTTAGCTGAGACTCCTCCTCCAGGTGTTTTCTCTGCACAGCCCACTTTAACCCCACCTGAGTTAGCCGTTCCTCTTCAGTGGTCCCACACCTTGGATGGCTCCCCCACAGGTGCTGAGCCGTGTGTCTGTTTCCTGTGCGGTCCGAGAAACATCAGAGACACAGGTTTTGCTTATTCATCCTGAGCATTCATCCTTATGCTCAGTGTCCTATAGATTTCTCTTATATATATAAGGTGCTTAATAAACGCCTATTGAATGAATGAATGAAATAAGCACATGTCTAATGGCTTCCAGTTACTACGTAACGTATCAGATAGAAATAGTTTAATGAAGCAGTTCGGAAGGCAGCACTGGCCCTACCCCCATCTTGGTCTCACTTCTCTCTGTTGCAATTTGGAAGCAAGAGTGTCTCAGCCCATGAGTTTCCTGGAATTGCCAGAAGGTTTCTTATGCCATTTCTTGTCTCTTGGGCCTCTCAGTGCCAGGACAGTTGCAGACACCAGATTTCCTCCTTTGTTGTTGGGACCTGAAGGCCATTAGCTGTGAGAGTCCCTGCTCCAGGTCCTGTCTCATGTGACGTGCTGACTGGCTTACACGAGGATTCTAGCCTCTGTCCCGCGTGTCCTTCCTGCCTGGCTCAGCGCCACGCTTCCCACTTCTCAGGGTCCTGTTCCTATACCGGCCTGTGCCCATTAGCTGCATTAACTTGGTGAGACTCCAGATAGCATCATCTAAGCACCCACCGCACGGCAGGAAGGCTCTCGGAAAGCAGTCTTGCGGTTTGTGATCCAGTCACCTCAGCTTCAGTTTGGGAACTCCGCTAGTACAGACAGAATAGCTGAGCAGTGTGTGTTTTTATGATTCCACCAGAAGCAGAGCTAGAACCTGAGAGGTCTTCTCATTCCACCTGAGCTTCTGGCTGGGGGTATCCACATCCTCTGTATCTGGGGCTTCTAAGTCCTCCTTATTAGGATCTCCAGGGATGGAGGGGGGTTGGATAAGGGGCGTCCTCCTGAAGCCCCTGTTCTGCTACTCTGTCACGACACCATTCCCTTTGGCAGTATTTGTGGAATGCAGTCTCTATGCCAGATCTTTAGGAGACAGATGAGTGGGACTCAGCCACGGCCTCGAGTCTAGGAGGGAAGGTGGGGGGTCGGGCGCATCCAACACCGTGTGCTAAGTACACAGCACTGCAGGAGCCCAGCTCCCCCGAGGGCTGCTGGAAATTTCTCCCTTTTTGTTCCTGCACAGAAATAAAGACTCAGATACTGAGTTCCCAGCATCACTCGTCTACCTGAAACCAGCCACAGGGTATCCATTAGCCTCTCTGTCTCTCAGGCTAACCCCCCAGTCCTCAAGAAGGTCACTTCTGGGTACAGGGGTGTGGTGAAAGGCAGTTGCTCCCTGTGCTTCCTCCCTGCTGGTGCATAAGGGGGCGGAGGGGCTGCCCCCCAGGCCATAACCAGGACCATCCTTCTGTTAAACACCTTTGCAGCCCTCAACAGGCTGTCTCCCCAACTCCTGGAGCAAACAGCAGGGAAAACCAAGCATATTGTTTACTTTTTAAACGCCAGGCTCGTTGCCCCAGTTGACTTGTGTGGGTTTGCCCAGGGAAACTTCTCAGAACGATTTGTTCTACGTGGCAGGCACTCAGAGGACCGAGGCTGGCTGCCGGGGTGAGCTCCGGGTTAGGGGACCTGCTCTCTGTCTCCTGCTGACACCTGCCTGCCCCCTTTTCCGGTCGGGGCTTGGTCTCTGAAAACTTATGGGAAATTTTACTTGAAGACAGTAGTGATGAACCTGATCCCAAATGTAAAGAAGGAAAGTATTTCCTGTGAAATGCCCAGGAATTATAACGTGTTTTTATAGAGTCCGAGAGATAGGATCAGGAAGGAAGAAAAATAAGAACTAGTAGGACTTTATCACACATTGGTATGAAGCCGCATGCTATGTATGTGATTAAAGGTGTGGTCATTGTCTTCAGTGGAGAGGAAGGAAAGTGGGAAGCAGAAAAATGAGATGAGGACCCGGTATGGAAAAGCAGCCCCCCACTTAGCTCCCCCTGACACCTCCTGCAGCCTCCTCTTGGCAGAAGGATCAAGTCAGGCTCTGAGGGGCGGAGACTGACACCGGGTTAAGATGGGGCCTCCCCTCTCCTTGCCCTTATTCCTCAGCCGTGGACCCTGCCTGTCCGCCTAACTGAGCCTGAGTTTTCTAGCTGGAGAGCCTGGGGCCCAGGGAGTGAGGTGACTGGCTGCTTATCTGACAGCTCTTTGGGGCCTGGCCAGGGCAGGCCGCTTCCTTTCTGGGCCCCCCGTGCAGGGCTTCTTCCTCTGGCTGCTTCTGTTCCTGAGCTGGGACGAGGTGGGGATAACTGTCACCCCGTTCTTCCAGCGTCCCCAAACTCTATTAGTATCAATGCACCAACCTGGCAAAGCTGCCACATCCAGGCTTGAGGAAATGTTCCCTTTGTTTCTAGACTTTAAAAAGATATTAAGATGGAAGCCTCTTATTGATCTGGAAATGTCCTTGAATGTACTTGAGTGAAAAGATGTGTGAAAATGTTAGGAAGCCAGTGGTGTCCCTAGGCTTGACATACCTGAAAGCTAAAGTGTTAGGAGAGGAGGACGTTGTTCTCGGTGTCCCTGTTCCGGTCCCTGACTCCTCTGTCCCTGCAGGCCGCCAGCTCACTGGAGCCGAGAGGGCCTCCACAGCCACCGCGGAGGAGACTGACATCGATGCAGTGGAGGTCCCGCTCCCAGGGAACGATGTCCTGGAATTCAGCCGAGGTGTGACTGACCTGGATGCCGTAGGGAAGGAAGGAGGCTCCCACACGGGCTCCAAGGTAGGAAGGAGGTGGCCCGTCCAGGTGACCTGCACACGTGTGTCCTTAGGTCATCAGTCACCTCCTGCCCCTGCTGGCTCAGCTTGTGAGTGAGGTGCTCCACGGCGGGGTGGTGCAGCCAGAGCACATCTCACTGTCCCTGTGTCCACACGAGGCGCAGCTGCGTGCCAGGGTGCCGCAGCGCTCACTCCTGGTGGGCTTTGCACCCCAGAATCCCACCAATACCTGACCCCCTTTTTCTCCCTGGCACCCTCTGCCCTGAAGGACATCTCCTCCCTGCACAGCGTTTATGCCAGGCCCAGCCCGATGCCCACGCACAGTCCCCTGTGGCTTAGCTGGTGGAGCAGGGGCAGTCTGGGCCTCTCCGTCCGCAGCTAGTGATTGCGTGCCATCGGCACAGCACAGCGCCATGAAGCTGGGCCACTGGACGTTAGAAATGGAGAGACCTCCTTAGTTGTCCCGAACGCCAACCTAACATCTTGTAGGTGAGATGACCGAGACCGCTAGGGGTTCCTGATGTGATTGGGATTAAAACTGAGAACTTGACCACATTCCGACCTGAAGACAAAACTAAATTTCTGAAACAAAGCAAACCCAGAAGGAAAATTACCAACGGACGGTTCTACCCTTAGGTCCCCGCCATTTCACTGCATCCCGGGCACCTCTGTTCCCACGTGGTCCGTGTGTCTTATCCTGGACACCGGGTGTCAGAGGAGGAAGCTGTGTAGCTTGGAGGGCAACACGGTTCTGTCTACCTGACATTGTCCTCGGTGTCTCATTTGTCCTCTACAAGCGGCAAGAGCCCTCTGTTACTGGGGGGCTTCCTCTTGCGTGTGTGCGTGCGTGAAAAGTGGGCAGTGGAAGTGCCAGAAACAGAACCTCTCTCCCTGCCCTTGAGTTCTGCAAATCGCAGCAGGTGCATTGGTAAAAGTGTGCTTAGGAGAGAGGGACAGAAACCGCTTCCATCTGATGGAGGATCTTTCCGGATCACTGTCCAACTCTCTGCCCTGGTGGCTGTCCCTGGGAGAGGGGGCTGTGGGGCTGGGGCAGCCCCCTCACATGCCCTTCCTCTAGCCCCCCCACTCATGAGGAGCCGGTCAGACCCTGGAGGGTGGGAGCCACCTCCTTCCTGTTCTGAGCGTGGGTGGTCAGTAGCCGTGATTTTTAGCAATAGACTCTCCTGAGTCTAGACCCCAAGTAGCTTGAGAACAGGGTCTACTTGGAAGTGTGGTGGGCAGGAGATGAGGTGACATCAGCTGTCTGTCTCCGGTCACGTGGGATCAGTTACCGAGGTGTCCAAATAAGACCTTCAGCCCAGGCAGTCACACTCCGGAGCCTCACTCCCGTTTCCATTGGAGACGCAGCGTTGCCGTCGTCTGCCGTGTCACTCCTCCCGAGCGCGTGCCACGTGTGTGACAGAGAAGGGTCCCCTGGAGAAGGCTCCTGCCCACGTGCCGTGTTCTGTCTTCTCTCCTCCTCCAGGTCCCGCCGCACCCCCAGGAGCCCATGCTCACAGCCTCGCCCCGGATGCTGCTGCCCTCTTCGTCCTCAAAGCCACCGGGCCTGGACGTGGGGACGCCGCTGTCCACCCACCACCAGATGCAGCTCCTCCAGCAGCTCCTGCAGCAGCAGCAGCAGCAGACACAAGTGGCTGTGGCCCAGGTTCTCCTCAGCCTCCTCCCTACTTCGCAGGCTCCACTCTCATGGGCTTGACGCGCCTTCCCTAGCGAGGGGCTCAGGGCAGGTGTAAAACCTAGGGAGCCGTAAGAAATCGCTCATGCTACCGGGTCATCGCTTGTGGGGGAGTGGGGGAGGTGGGAGGGGGGCGCGGTTGAAGCGGAAAGGCACACTTTGGTTTCCCGTGTGTCCCCCGCTCTGAGCTGGGCTTGGCTGGCTTGGCTGGATGTTGTTGTTTAATGACTTGAACTCACCCAGAAAAAAGATGCTCGTGATTCCACCCTTCCCTTCCTGCCTTATTTTCCTGGTGTTCGGGGTGGGAAGAGATGCCTTCAGCGTCAGGGCCGGTGTGAGTTTGTGATACCACTCTGAAAACCTCTTAAAGTATGAATTTGTGCGAAACACCCTTGCAACGACTGCCACCCTGGCATCCCGACCTCCTTGTCCAGAACAGATTTCCAAACCTCCATTTAGTGATCTACTTATTCCAGGCAGTCTTTAATACAGTACTGGCCTTGGAATTCATTATAATGGGATTTATCTTATAGGAATTTCGGTATAGTAGTTGAGCCATAATGAGAAGAATTGGCTTAGATCTCAGGATGAAGGGAGTGTTTGCACCCCAAAGACTTGCTGGGCTACTGCTGCTTTGTAGGGGATCAGGGAGCTGACCCCTCCCTTGCTGCTCTTAGCAGGGACTCTTCCCATTTGCTCTCTGTGGAGGGCACTGTAGTCCACATCTTCCTTGGAACTTAGGAGTCTGAGCCTCATCTCTGCCATGGGCAATCAGGGAATGTTTAAGACATGTTCATTCAGGATTTAAAGGTGAATCCTGAGGTAAGGGCCAGGCCTGATGGGTAGATGAAGATAATCAGGTGGGTGGAGCAGTCAGGTTAGGGAGGGTTGCTCGGATACAGAAAGGCAACTCTGTGCATCAGCAGTCTGAATCTGCTTGGCCAGACTGACGGCTGCCTAGGTTTTCTGTGTTCTAGAATGGCAGGGAGCACTTGTTGATCCTTGTCGTATCTTCTGCTTACTCTTCTCCTGGCTCCTGGTTGGGGTGAATCCCCCAGGCAGAGCTGTGCTTTCCAGTGTGTTCACCTGGAGGAAGCGACCAGCAGCAGCCTGACCACACGGGATCTGCTGTGACTTGGGTCTTAGAAGGAGCTTTTGGTGACACAATCTCAGTAGAGTGGAATCAGGGGGACCCTGCTCTCAAGTTACTGGAGCCTTTTCGTGAAACAAAAGGATGTGCAGTGATGCTAGGAGGATTTGCAGGTGTTTCCAAAACAGCAACAGAAAGGAGGGAGTGTCATTAACGTCTTCTTATATTTGGAGGAAAACAAATCATTTCTCTTTGTCAGATAAAAAAAAAAATTCGTCTCCTGCAGTCACTGATGGTGTGGCAGTCTGAGAATCCCTCCTCCCTGGCGTGGTGGCTGACGGGAGCACGAAGCCTGAGCACTCCTGCCCGGGGGGGCTGCTCCCTCCCTCACATCATTTCCAAAAGTTTCCCACTGAATACAAATCCATTTTCCAACCATAATACTTTTCTCTTTCAGCATATCAATTGCCAAGTAATTATTATTTATCTAAGAGTGGGCTTGATGCATATTCATATTATCAGAGAGGCATTTGAATTTGAAGTCACTAAAGAGAAACTTTTTGCATGTTTATAATCTACACCACCAGCGTGTTGTGGCGGTGGAAGGAAACAGTGCACAAAGCAGCAAGACCTGTAGCTTACTGTGGGTCTGCGGAGTCAGGATGAAACCCTAAGAGTGACTTTTCTGGTACAGAATCAAGCATCTGTCTCAACAGGGCATTCCTGCCCTGGCCCTATTTTAATGGCCTCTCTCCTAGAAGACAGTGACTCTAGGGGAAGAGAAGAGCGTGGTGTTCAGGATTTGCTTCTGAGCCTTTCTCAGCTCCAGCCACTTCTGCAGGCTGGGCACCTTTAGCCTCTGACCCATTTGCAATCTGTTGAGTATAGGTGACAGTGTCCTGCTTGACTCAGTCATCTCAGTACAAGCAGTGACATGATTGAAAGGCCACTGTGGGGTATCCATCTCCCACATTGGTGAGATGACTTTGAGTAGAGTCGTAGACTTCCAAAATCTTCAGATGGGACAAGACCTTGAGGTCTTCTGATAGCTTCTTGAACAGACTCCTCTACCTCTCTCTGCCATTCCCATCCGTCAGTCTCTGACCACCTTCTTTCTGTTTGTGTCTTCCTTTTGCTGCCCACAGCAGGGGTATTGTACCTCTTGGCCGGCCTGGTCCCCTGTCCTGCAGATGGAGTCAGTCCTAAATGGCACTTCAGTCAGAGGTTTCTCAGCACTGCACACTCTTCTTTCTTCCACTCTCTTTGTAGTGTTTAGTCCAAGGGCTCTTTTTTAGTATCCATATCCTCGGGTAAAATCAATTATGTAAGAGATATAGCTGGGTTGATAGATAGTTCTCCTTGGCATCTTTCACACGTTCGAAATAGACCACATACAGCATGCTCGGTCTCTCTGCACGAGTGGGTATAATTTCATTTTTCAGCATGATGTCACCTTTTACTTGTTCTGTCAGACTCTATTGCCACCAAGCTGCAAGGTTTCTGTCTTTCTTTATTAAACTACCAGCAGTCCCCAGAATTCCAGTGAGTAAAAGTGTGTGACCTCAGCATTTCAGGTGGGAACACATTTTCCTTTTCTCTGGGAGCATCTGAATTTTCCTATTGGCTCCGGATAAAAATCGAAGGCAGTTTCTTGCAGACAGGTGTACTCTTGGGGTCACTTGTTGCATTATTTATATACCCCGCCCCCCAGGCCCCATTTCCTCTCATAGACCAGTCTTGTTCTGCTGTTGCCATGGGGACCAGGCTTAGGTCTCCTTCACAGTGTTCTGATTTGGACATCAAGACCTCTCCCAGTTCGCCCTAAATTGGTTCAGAGCTGGTCTAGAAGGGGCCTGCCATGGCCTTAAAGGTGCATGGGCAAAGGTGGTATCCAACCAACTCTTACATATTTCCAGGTTAGACCTTAGTGTGTAAATAGTGAATACCTAGGTTCCTCTGCTACTCCCCTGACCCAGCATGCGGCTTGCCTGGCTGCACTAGCTTCCTGCTCATAGATGGACCAGAAGTTCAAGGCTGTGAATGAGAGTATAGCCACGCCTTGAATCCAAGCCGGGATGTAGCTGGCACCTGCATGGCCGCTGGCGGGGCCTGCGTAGCTCTAGACTTGATCCGGGCACTGGCTGACTGGCAGCAGTCAGGTAGGCCAGGTCTGGTCACAGTTTGCCGATTCCTGGCCTAGCTCACGAGAAAAATGTTAGTGCAGCTCAGTATTGCTATTTAAAGATTCCTTCTCTATCTGCTGCCACTTCTGCTTATTCAGGAACCAGGAATTGGTTATTTATGCTGCACGATTGTGTGTGCTGTAGCCAGTTAATGGAATAGCGCTAAATAAAACTCTGCATCCCCACCCCAGGCCCTAGATTTAGCATCTGTCCTCGTGGCTTCTCCCAGTCCCCAGCACCCCGGTGTGCACTGCCCAAGTCCCTGCTGTGTGCATGCCGAGACAGCCGCCTGCCTCTGCTTGTGTGTCCCGTGTGTGGGGGGCAAATTGCTCTGGTTCTCTCCACTGCCATTTCCATGTGCCTGCTGCTCCCTAACTTCAGCCTGGCCCTGCCCCCACTTCTGATGGAGGAGCTGGAGTCCAGGCAAGTAGGCTGGAGAGCGAGTGGGTCAGTGGTCTGGTGTTGCTGGGTAGGTCGAGGGTGGGTGCCAGAGTTGTGGGGAGCGGTACAGAGCTAGAGGGTGCAGAGCTGAACTTAACGCACGTCGTGCTGTGGCCAGCGTGCAGAGCTGGGCCTCTGAGCACTGGCACTGCACGTGTGGCCTTAGTGCCACGTCACCGTGTGCCACTTCACTGACTTAGTCTGTGACTTGCAATAGTCATTGCCAAAGATGGCACAGCTCTGGGAAGAGGAAGCTAACTCTTACCTTTCCAGTGATTAATGTGGTCTACTTTTGCAAAAGTTGTTTAATTCTTTGAAAGAAAAGCATGCCAAATACAAATAAATATCCTATCTGTTGGGGAGGAGGTGGTACTCTCTGCTCCTGTTGTATGGACGGGGAAACAAAGCACAGAGAGCTGCCGTGGACTGCCCAAACCAGGACTGGAAATACCACTGTCGCAATTCAGTGTGTCAAGCTCAGCCTCCATTAGATACGGAACACTTTGTCTCAAAGTTAAAGGAAGTGTCCAGGCCTATTTATCTCAAGGTGGCCTGGTTTGGGTTCTTCTGCGGCATTCGCTGCAGCATGAGGTTTGAGCCTTATGCCCAATGCCACTTTTGACGGCTGCAGAAGGGTTCATTAGTGCTGGTTTGGGCAGGGGCAGCAGTGAGTGCTTCCATATTCACAGGCCTTGAAAACACCTGCAAATAGTATAACTCTGCACTGGCAGAAGCAAACTTATTTAATCTGGCAAGAGGAGCATTTTCTCATGGCACTTGGTGCCAGTGGATTTGTGATGGAAGCATTTGATTCAAAGGTCTTCTTTTAGGTATGGATGGTACTCTACCATTGGAACGCGAGTACCTACTAAAGAAGCCTCCAGTTTCCCCCCAACCCTTCGTGAGAGGGAACTTCTCTGTGTGCTCAATCCTAATTCTGTGACTTCACAATGGGGAACTGAGGGTTTTCTTCAGCGAGCCGTTAACAAATTGGCCCTGGTATTAACCACTGTGTCCACCTGGATGTGGGATCATCAACTGTCTGAGCCTCTAGCCAACCCTCTGGGTTGACAGGTGGAGAAACTGAGGTCCAGAGAGAGTGAATTACCTGTAGTTTCCTGGGGAATAACCACAGACAGCCTTCCTGCTCCTGGGCTGGTGCTTGCAAATGGCCTGTTCTGTTGGGATGTTCGGACTGGGATGGAGGAAACTGAGTCTGTAGCTTGTGTGCAAGGAGCCCCCGAGAGATGCCACTTAGTGGTGTGCAGAGTCCTCTACTTGCTTTCTTTACATCCACTGAAAGGCTTTGTTCCACATTTCTGTCTGACATTTCTGTTTAGATGCAAAGAAAATAGAAAAAAGAGCAGTTCACAACTTTTATTTGTTTGTTAAGTTGCTTTCAGTGATTCTCTTAGTTAGAGTGAGTAACAGCACTTGCAGATGGCCAGGTTAAGCTGACCCTTCTCTGGGGCTTATCTGTGGCTTCCCACAGCAATTGCCCTGTTCCTCAGAACCCAGTGGATTTGGGGAACTCCCAGGTGAAATTTCTCCGTGCCTCAGTTTCCAAGGAGGATAAAGGCTTAATATCCAGTTAGCATCTGACATCTAGATTAAAATAGTATTGACACTTCATTCCCCGTTGAGTGGATATAGGAGGAAACAAACTCAGTTTCTCCCTGCTATACTCACAACACATTTCTGTGACCAAAGGTCTGGGGGTTTCCCCTACACCCCAACCAAGCAAGCACTTCTGCTGTTGACACCCGATGGGTGTCCTTTAACTCAGTTTGATTCTAACACTGTCTACTTGGAGACAGTGTCAGCTCCCATAGTTTGAGGGCTTAGTCCCACAAGACTTCAGATGCCAATCACAAGTAATAGCTTGTCACCTACACTTCTCTCCAACTGGCTATAAATTAGGGCTCCCACTACCCCTCTTCATGTTCAACTCATTTGCTAAAGCAGCTCACAGAACTCAGGGAAACACTTTACTTACATTTACTGGTTTGTTATAAAGGATACGACAAGGGGTACCGATGAACACAAGATGGGAGAGATGCACAGGGCAAGGTGTGTGGGAAGGGGCGTGGAGCTCCCATGCCCTGTCTGGACACACCACCCTCCAAGAACCCTCATGTGTTCAGCTACCTGGAAGCTCCCCAGATGCAGTCCTTTTGGGTCTTTATGGAGGCTTCATTATGTAGATCCGATTGATTAAATCATTGGCTATTGGTGATCGATTTAACCTTCAGTCCCTCTCCCTTCCCGAGAGGTTGGGTATGGATCTGAAAAGTCCCGAGGCTCTAATCATGCCAGATCTTTCCTGTGACCAGCCCCCATCCTGAAGCTACCTACAGTTCCCCAGCCACCAGGCATCTCATAAGTTATACAAAAGACACTCTTATCACTCTGGGGATTCCAAGGGTGTGGGGAGCTGTATGGGGGGATGAAGAACAAACACATAGTTCATTGCATCACACCTGATCTCACCTGTCTCCAGATCTTTTTTTGCAGTTAATATGAGGCAACAAATGAAGCTGACTTCTTGACCACAATATCAGTTCTGTTCTTAGCAGTCCTTTAGGGAGGACAGGCTTACTTTAGATTCCTTACACGTCATCCCCTGGAGGAAAGATGGGTCCAGCCCTGGGGAGCCACTAATGGAAAGTGGCAGCTAATCTCATTAGTGGCTCCACACAGTTAAAAGCAGAGCCAACTGCAAGGTCAGGTCCTCAAATCTGGACAGAGAGGGAAGCAGCCACTGTACCCAAAAGTGTATATAATTCTCTGAGTGCTGGTTGCTGGGAGGAGCAGACACTGGGCTGGCTGGTCACTTGGCCAGGTGTGGCCAGACTGTAAGGTGAGCAGGTCCTTTACTCCCTCATAAAATGTGAATCTCTTTGGAGCAAACTCCTCTTCAGAAATTTAAGCATTTCTTTTCTGAGCAAGAGAATCAGCTAATGTTTCCAACTCCCATCTTCCTCATCCATCCTCATTCCACTGCTCCTATGTCCTTGTCCGCACCATGCTTTTGGTCCAAGAAAATCCTCTTTGCCAAAAGCTGCCTTGGTCCATGCCACCAAATTCATTAGTTCCCTTTCTTCATGGGCCTCCTGCACCCCTCCCTAGAGAACCTTTTATCCACTTGGTACAGGAATCACATACATGTGAACATTGTCATTGGCCTTGGGCCTCAGTTTCTTCAAGCCAGAGTCCTGATATAATTGCCCCATCTCCTCCCACTGAGTTTCGTCTCCACATGAGGATAGAACAGAGCTGTTGACACCACTGGGCCCAGAGCATGCCGAGGGTCCCTTGCCGGCTGTTCTTCCCTGAGAAGGCTGTGAACTGTTGAGGGTGCTGTAAACTGGTCACCTCAGCCCTCCTGGGTTTGTTGGATGAGGCCCTCTTATGAGTCGGTCAGCAAACATTTGACCCCTGCCAGGTACAAATCACGATCCTAGGGGAACTAAAAGGGAACAGACAGTCATGGGAAGCAGCTGATCCCCACAGGCATTAAAAGACAGGCTTTATCACAACCACCTCACTAATTAAAAAGTTGCATGTAGTGTTTCCTATTTCTTGTTATGTTCGGGTGCAAGGAGCAGGGAGGAAAAATTATATGGGGGCTTGTGACACTCTTCTTAACCAGTGGGTCAGTATATCAGTTTTTGTTTTTTGAAAGACAGGATGAGAAACGGGTCCCTCCCTTGACACAGCAGTGCTGTATTAGGTACTGAAGGAGTTCTCAGGGCCAGGATGGAGTGCTGCGCGGGCGGGCAGAAAGGGGGTAGATGGCTCTTTCCTACCTCTTGCCCTTGCTGTGGGGCCCAGAGTGGTAGCTGAGCGTCACACGCTGGCCCTCCCTTGGGACATGCAGAGAGATTCATGGGGCCGGTGAAAACTTCTTTTGGCTCCTCTTCCTCCAGAGTTATAAGCCCGGATGCCCATTCTGTCCGTGAAGGGCTTATTCATGGTTGAACTGGACGTGGCGGGCATCTCCATTGTCCGCCAACAGCTCTCACGTGCATTCACGTCCTGTCTCCTCTGTCTTCTCTGCCGCTGCCTCCTCTCTGCAGGTTCACTTGCTGAAGGACCAGTTGGCTGCTGAGGCCGCAGCACGGCTGGAGGCCCAGGCTCGCGTGCACCAGCTTCTGCTGCAGAACAAGGACATGCTCCAGCACATCTCGCTGCTGGTCAAGCAGGTGCAGGAGCTGGAGCTGAAGCTGTCGGGACAGAATGCCAGTAAGCCAGTGCCCTGCCCAGCCTCGCCTCCCTCTGAGAAGGCTCTGGAAAACATGTTTTCCTTAAAGCTTTTGGTGATGATTTTTTTGGAACCTTGACCTGCCCTTGTATTCCAGCAGAAAACAAAGGCGGCCTGCATATTTGTCCTCTTCAAGTACTTCATGAGTTATGGAATTGCAGGGCCGGAGGAGATCTTGGCTGCTGTCTAATCCAGTTCCTGGGCTTGGCCTTCAATGTCATATGCTCTTCCAGTCTCTACTTGATGATGGGGACTCTGGTATCTACATGCTGAGGCAGCCAATTTCTTTCTCAGTAGGCTTTTCCAATGCAAAATACACTGAGCACCGATTAGGTGTCATGTTTGGGGGAGACGTCAAACTATTTACTACTCTCTCTGTATATTTCACAACTCTGTTGCATAGCAGAAAAACTGGTAGCATTATGTCTGTTTAATGGGTAAGGCAGGGGAATAACTGACCGGACAGCTGTGCTGGGCAGTGACAGAGGTGACCTAGTTCGTGGTCTGAGATGCTGCCTCTGCACCCCGCCACCTCCACACGGGACTGGAAAGCAGTAGAAGGCGGCCTATCTCTATGCCTTCCTCTTGAGCTTACCTGTGGGCTATTTACATGCTTAGATTGTGTGTTAGCTGTGGACCAACAAATATCCATTGATCGCCTGTTGTGCCAGAAACTGGCAGGTGAGCTCATTTCATCTCTGTGGCGGTAGATGTTATTGTGCCAGTTTTACAGACGAAGAAACAGACTCAGAGAAGTTAAGTAACTAGCTCACTGTTACCAAGGGGTTGAACCAAGATTCAAACTTATATCTAATTTCCCCAAATCCCATGAGCTTTTTTAAAAAAAGAAAAAATTGCATGTTACTGGGTCCAGCCCACAGAGATTCTGCCTCATCAGGACTGGGGCAGGGCTGGGAGTCTGTATTTTTAAGTGGCCCAAAGGTATGGATTGGGAACCACTGCACCTCACCAGTCTATGTAAGCCTCTCTGGATTTTCCAGATTTTTGTTTGAGACCCTCATATCTCCTAATTAAATGCCGATTTACACGATTATACTAAGAGTACATGCTTTGAACATGGTTCTCTCAAGGGGTTAACCTTTCTTCCTACCACAAACCCTTCCAAGGCATTCAGTGGTCTCCCTCCCCCCAGCCCCCCAATCAGGTGGTTCTCATTGCCCAGCCTTTACCATGTCCTCCAAGCTCCTTCCCCCCATCCGGGTGTGTCTGGGGCTAGTGGGAGCGGGGGAAGGGGTGAAGTATCAAGAGATGTGGACCCCGGAGAGGTGCTGCCGAGCTGGTCCTGGAGGGGGCTGTCAGAGGGCGGGCTTCCCCAACCAGCACCCTGGCCTAACACCGCCCCTCCTCTCCCTCTTGTCTCCCCCTCCAGTGGGCTCCCAGGACAGCTTGCTGGAGATCACCTTCCGCTCAGGAGCCCTGCCCGTGCTCTGTGACCCCACGACCCCTAAGCCGGAGGACCTGCACTCGCCGCCCCTGGGCGCGGGCTTGGCTGACTTCGCCCACCCGGCGGGCAGCCCCTTAGGTAGGCGCGACTGCTTGGTGAAGCTGGAGTGCTTTCGCTTCCTGCCGCCCGAGGACACCCCGCCCCCGGCGCAGGGCCAGCCGCTCCTGGGCAGCCTGGAGCTCATCAAGTTCCGCGAGTCGGGCATCGCCTCGGAGTACGAGTCCAACACGGACGAGAGCGAGGAGCGCGACTCGTGGTCCCAGGAGGAGCTGCCGCGCCTGCTGAACGTCCTGCAGAGGCAGGAGCTGGGCGACGGCCTGGACGACGAGATCGCCGTGTAGGGGCGAGGAGATGGCGCGGGAGGCGGCGTGGTGTGGAGGGGCCGTGTCTGGCTGCCGCCCGGGTAGGGGAACGCCCAGCCAGCGCGCTCTGCTGAGGATAATGCCCGGGGCCTGGAGCGTGAGGTTCCAGAAAAGGAGTAGGGTCTCGCTTTGGAGGGCAAAGTGGGGAAGCAATTGGATCCCCAGAGGAGAATCAGCTCCTTCCCTGCTTGTGATTAGAGGGTGGTGGGGGCGGTGGGGCAGGTTGCTGGAGGACCTGCTCCTCCCCCCTGCTGTCATCAGGACCCTCTGCTGTGTGTGGCGCCCTGTGCCCCTTTGCTCTCCCCACCTCCGCGGTCCCCAGCGTGAAGGGAAGCCATCGGTACCTTCTCAGGTGCTTTGTTTCTGGATATCAGGAAGCTATGAGTTGCCTAGCCCTCCTGCGCCCTCGGTGGGAGAAGGTCCTTCTCCGGGCTCTTGCTGAGATTGTAGAGGTTGAATGCTCTGGGCTGCACAAGCCAGGCTGCTTTTTACAGTGTGAGCATGGAATTGGGATGTGTCACAGTGGATAAGCTCTTAGAAGAACTGAATCCAAACATTTGCTCTTGCTGGGTGTTGGTTGTTGCCTCGGAGGGAGCCTGGGAGCTCGACGGTGGCTCAGGCCCTGGCTGTGAGAGTCCAGAGGGAGAAGAGCCTGTTTTCTGCCCCAAGTCACTTAGGTCTGATTCTTCAGTTGTGAAACCCTGCGCCCCTGCCTGCAGCCCAGCCCACCTCAATGGAGGCTGGCAAGCGTCCCTCCCTCCCCCGTGTCCTGCCCTCCAGGGCTGTGCCAGCTGAAACTATTGTATCACTTTGCCTCTAAGAGCCTCTGAGACCCAGAGCCCCCCAGCCTTACCTCTTAACCCGTCCCCTCCATTGGGCAGAAGTGGTCAGTTTTTACTGCAAAAAAAAAAAAAAAAAAGGAGACAGAAATAGACACAGGCTGATGATAGCTGAGATTGCTTTTGTCCACTCTTCAGAATCACTGCCACTTAGGTCAGGGACCACAGCCACGTCACTCTTGGCCCATCTTTGTAGGTACGTGCCTCAAACACACCTGTAAAAAGTGCCACGTGCAGTTTTCTCGTCTTTTACAATCCAGACCTTGCGTAGGGATCACCACTTGCTAACAGGCTGACTGGGGCGGTGAGGGAAAGCTCCTTTTGCTCCCATACGGCCATCAGTGGCTGTTAATAGATTTCCAGATGCCTGAAGAGAGAGCTCAAGACATGCTAGTCCTGGACAACAAGCTACAGACCCAGGCTCCAGTATCATTAGAGGGTCAGTTGGGAAGGATACGATTGCCCCGAAATGGAGTTCGTCAACCTTAGCTTTGCTTTAGAATTTCTAGAAATAAAAGTGCAATGCTTTTCTTAGAGCCACAGTCGGATCTCTTGTAGACCAGAAAGTCCAAATGAAAGGAAATAAATGCAGCTTTACATTAGCCCTCTTGGGTGCATCAGGGTGTCAGTGGAAATAGGATGGGTGTGTGTGGGTGTGTGTGTTTATACACACGTGTGAGGGAAGGTGTGTACATGTATGTGGGTTTGTGACCAGAAAGAAGAGAATGGGAATCTCCAGGGTGTTTGAATCGACAATGGGTTTGTGTTCTTCTCCTAACATGCATTTAGTTGGAGAGGTGTGGTTCTGTTTCTTTTGTTCTGTGTTGTGATTGGCCATGGAAAGTAGGTCCAGCTACACAGGGAAGGAAGAACCAGGAAAGTGAGGTCCCTGAAAGCGAAGGAGCAGCTGTTGTCAGGAATCCAGTTTGGCTGAGCCTACACGGCTTACAGAATCTAACCCAAGCTTCCTTGAGTCTTAGACCTCTTAGAGGATTAGGATTTTGAATGTCCAGAGGAGGGAAAGGTCTGTTTTCTCGAGGCCAGTGGGTGCTAAGCATGATGCTAGAGGCTGGCGGATTAGGTGTGTGGGATGTGGCTGGGGGTGGTGGTGAGTGGGGAAAACAGTTTCTAAAATGGTCTTGAAAAGGCTTGAGCAGAGAAGGAAGAAGGGAAATGGAAGGATTAAAGAATTAGAGAAACTAGTTATCTGTGTCACTGACTTTGGGGCCCATGCAAGACTCGTGCCCTTTGGATGTTCCGCGGTGGTTTCCACCTGCCTCGGCCCCAACTTTTCCCCGGTTGGGGCCCTTTCTGGAGCGCTGGTTTGTGTGCTGGCATCCTCCCCACTGTGACTCAAGCCAGCACACACTTGGTTGTGTGGAGATGGGAGACAAAGGACAGATCTAGGAGCCTTGAAGGGTCAGCAGCCACCAACGCTCCGTCAGCACCAACTGGGCAGGAAGGGGAACTCGGCAGAACTGATTTCCCAGCGACGGCACCCTGTCCTCCTCCTTCCTTGCTGCTTGCTCTGCTAACTCAACTCCATCTGCCTCTTTTTCATCCTACTCTGCCCTACCTGGAGGACAAGTGGACACCTGGGGCCCCTACCTTACTGGTCCCTGTCCCAACCAGCTTGCCCCAGATGCCAGCAGACTCTCGGGCACAAGAGGCTGTCACCGTTACAGAGCCAGGGAACAGTTTCTCTACGCAGGATGGACTGTATATTGGGATTGGAAATTATACTCCTTATATTCCTGCTTATATCAATGCTATCTGTGAAACCTCTGCCTTGCCTCATTTCTCTCCACTGACCTTGTTTAGGAGTTGTATTCCTTTAATTTCCTCTTTGCTTGACTGCTTCCTCCTTCCCCCAACCCCAGCCCTCTCCTTCTAAAACTGTTATGTCATTAACTCTGTTGGGTCCAATCTCTGGGAAAAGATTCTGTTAATGTAAGTGCACTTACTCTATGGATGTTGTCACTAGTCTAGTGGCTTTTGCTAAATAAACCTTTCTTATTTCTACAAGCTTTCTCATTGTCTTTTCTTGCTGCTTCTGTTCCACCTGCTCCTCCTCTCCCCCTCACTTCCGCCCTTGTTCCCAAGCCAGGCAGCAGCATCTATTCTGTGACATGCTTCCGTAGGGTGTGGGGTTTGGACAGAATTCACATGTGCTCTGAAGGAAGGTGGTGGTGGCTTCACGTGTAATTTGCATAGACCACCTTGCAGGATCAGATTATATCAGTGGTTCTTAACCGGGGATGATTTTGCTGCCCCTAGGGGACATTTGACAATGTCTGGAGACATTTTTGGTTGCCAAAATGCTACTGGCATAGTGGTTAGAAACCAGGGATACAGCTAAGTAGCCTGCGGTACACAGGACAGCCCCCCACAACAGAGAATTATCCAGCCCCAAATGTCAGGAGTGCTGTCGTTGGGAAACTCGGGCTATATAAGCAGGCTCTCCAGACCGCAGATTTTTTTCAAGCTCCAAATCATTAGACTGTGTGGGCAGTAGCAAGTTTTGAGTGCTTGAAAAAGTACTACATCATAGATGTTTTCCAGTATAACTAAGATGATCAAGATTATGCAATTTCACTGACTCCACAACTACATGCCTGAAATACGTAGTTGGTAGGGCTGTGAATGGGCCCATTCCAGAAATGTCCATACTGGGGGGCAAGACAGGCTCCTCCCCATCTCTACCAGGAAGGATTATGGCGTCATTGCAACACAGCGCAGCAGAGGAGCCTGGCTCACAGGAATGTGGGGTCCCCTCCCCTGCAAGGAGCAGAGATGAAAGGAAGGAGGAAGCTGGCAAAGGAGGGAAGGATTAGAGAAATGAGCTGCAGGATCTTACAGAACAGGCTGCACGGAAGCCAGATCCCTTCTGCTGGAACTTTGAGCCATTTTGAGGGAAGAGGGGTTGTTAGTCCTGATGTTTTGTCGGGTCCAGGTCAGAAGGAAAGCTGGAAGGGTCTATATAATGGGTTCACATGCCCTCTGTTCTTTTCTGGGTGAGTGAACTGAACTGAGCTTTATATTCTCACCTGTAAGCTGGGCACAGTGCCTGTCACATAAAGCTATTAACAGAGTGAATGAGATTGCATTTTAAAAGCGCCCTGCAGAGAGTGCCCGGCAGTGACCCAGGGTACAGCTTAGTTTACCATTTAGTTGGCTTCCTCCCTCCTGCACCTGTGCCGGTCAGTACAATTGTACTGGGTCAGTACAATTGCTGGGAGCTTTCTCTTGCTGTGCTGCAACTCTGCTCTGTATGAGAAGATCTGTGGTGTTATAATGGTTCTGCATTAAATGGGACAAGTGGAAGCACCTTGTCTTTAGGGAGAGGACACTACCCATGCACACCTGCCTGGCAGGGTGGGCACGTGCGGTGGTGCTGGGTTCGGTCCTGGCCTCATTGCTTCCCCTCTTTTGATGTGCTCCGTGCCTGGGATACAGATGTGCTCGAGGAGGGGGTATGGGGTTGGTGGAGGGCGGGAGACCAGACCAGAGGCCAATTCCTTTCCTGGTTGTCCCACATGGTAGTGAGACCATGAGTGGTCCCTTGCCCACCACCCACCTGTATATGCCCTCCTTTCTGGCTCAGGAGCCCCATCTGGGGGGCATACATGCACAGCCACCTGTGTAAGGAGGAGCCTTTAGGCTCAGGTGGCTTCTCCAGAGAAGAGTAGCTCAGAGTGGGGACTAAGAAGCCTTGCCCAGAGTCACTCATCTGCTTCCTGAGAGTACGAGGTCCTGGGAATGATGCCAAGACAGCGCCTCACCTGGAGCAAACAGGTCATGACCCCCAAGTCCCTGCTCCTGGTCCAGCTGGAGCCTGTCGGTCAGGTGGCCTCTGGGAGTCTGGCTGGGTGGTGGG